AGGTATTCACCATTTGCTGCTTACATGTTCATTACACGTCATTTTACTTTTCAAGTTAAAAAAACAATGAAAACTTCGAAGCTATAATGTTTGGCAGTGTTTTTGTACCTATTCTCCTTTCACTTCGTTGTTTAATACTTGTGTTTGATCTCGTTACTCTCCCTTCCCTAGTGCCAAATGCTTACCAACCATATGATGTTAATGTTTACGACAGTTTTATGGTTGACTTCTAAATCTTCTTCTCTCTTGTATTCTTTCATTTCTCTCTCATTTTCTTGATTAAAAAAAAATCTGTAATTTTTAAAATATTTATTGCAGACTTTGGAATCTCTTACAGTTAGATTAATATTATGTGACGTTGAGAAAGGCGTGGATGGCTTGCTTTATACAAGTATCTCCTTACTGGGAGAAACTTGAACCTTTTACTTCCAAGTTTAGAGTAGAATTGTAGGATGACTAATTTTATTTCTTGTTTGTTTCTGTCTACTAAAACCGGTAGATAATTGATATAAGACAAATGGTTGAAAGATGCATACTTGGTTGATAATTGTTTTAAGAAAACGTCTTATTAACTTTTTAACTTTTTTTTCTTGTTCGTGTACTTGTTTGAAGTCTTTAGTTGCTAGCTGTAAGCTTAGGATAATGTTTTTCGGTGGCTTGATGTTAGTTGGCTCATTTACGGCATTACGCTGAGATAAAAAGAATCTGAAACACTGAAGAGTCATAGTACTTAGACTCTTCTGTGTTTGGATGCACGAGTCTTTCGATGTGTATGAGTGCTGTGGTGCACATGAACTTCTGCATAGTTGGGGATGCAAAGTATCCTAAAATTTCCTTGTTTCTGTTTCCCTTCCCCTAATAGTGATGTATACCCATTTCTGGAGAGATTATGCTTGGAGGGTACTCGTGCTCAATCAAAGAGTGCTGTTTCTGCCATTGCAGCTTTAGCTGGTACTTCTGGGAATTTTTTGTTCTCTAAATTATGTAAGGTACGGACAAATATATTTTTGAGGCATTTCTATTCATATATTCTTTTTATAGTTTATTGGCATTCAGAAAAATAGCTTACGGAACCCTTCTCTCTCTCTCTTTTTTTTTTTTCTCCAGGAACTTGTTGATTCTCTACACAGGGGAATGAATCTCCCCACAATATTGCAATCTTTAGGTTGTATTGCAGAATATTCTGTTTCAACCTTTGATGATCATGATCTAGGGATCACACCTTATATATATGAAAAAATCCTCCAAGTAATTCTTACCAACTTCCTTTTTCGAGTTTACTTTTCTAAAATAATTATATGTATATCTGATCTTCCCTGCCAGTGCCTTCTAGTTTTGTTGATTTTTGCTTCCGCAAAATCTTTTTGACCGGTCTTTTAACCTTACTCATGAAGGTGGACCTATCAGATAATTTCAATACATTAGACGGGGATAGCAATTCTTGCGATTTAAAGGTAAACCCCTATGGAGACTCGGGTTTCATTTATTTTTCAGTCTATTAAGTTGCGATTTTCACCTGTTTTGTACATTAATCTTAGACGGGCATTGGAGGAATTTGTATGAGGGAAAGACAAGACATCAACCCTTTGAACGAGAGTGGTTATTATAGAAAGTTACTCCATGTACCTTGTAACAAAAGAATGAAATAGTTACCTGAAAACAAAATATTGAAAGGCACCATAAGGAATCCAACAATAAATTGATCTCTCTCATATCTCTATTCTTTTTATAAGACAACCACACATTTTCAAATTTGAATTGGGTTGGATCTACCAAAAAGAACTAATCTCGGACTGTGGGGAAGTCATCCAAAGTAGCCTTCATTGTCCTTGAATCTCTAGAGTCGTGAAACCAGCCATCCACTTCCGAAATCAGTAAATACAGGACATGGAGAATCCCTCAAATTAGACCAAGAGAAATGACTGTTGGACGCGGGAATTTCAATTTATGATCTTCAATAGTCCTCATGCTTCTAGAAAATGTACCATTAAAGGATTTTTCCATGGATCTCTCAATGACGTTGACCAATAAAAAGAAATTTTATCATTGGCAAACTTCTTTTTGAAGGAAACTAAGTCAAATTAATTCAATATCTCAGATAAGACCGTTTCTTGCAATTTAAATTGATTTTGTTGTGGCAGTAGTCCTACTTAATAGACATTGAATTCACGTAATGTGAGATACGCTGTGTTCTTGAATAATTAGAGGCTACTAGTCCTACTTGGTGGCCTACTGATGATTTTTCTCCATTTTTGTAGAGTTATTCTTTCTTTTTTCTTTGCAGATTTATGGGCTGAAAACAATCGTTAAGAGTTTTTTGCCACATCAAGGAACTCCTAGAAGAAATGTTGATGAGTTTCTGAAAATTTTATTAGGGATGCTGAACGCGTGTGAACCTTCTGTTGGGAACATCCCTACGTATGTATTTAAGTGCATTGATAGATAAAACTTGTTTTAAAAAATTTTCCGGATCATACAAGATTCCTACAGCAGTTGTTCCTTGTTAAGTTTTACTGATCTATAATCTTTGGTTTGAAGCTGCAATATTGTCAACCTTCTGAAGATTGCATGATTTGTTGCTATTCAATTAATATTTTTCTGGACTACTGCACATTTTTCCCCATTGTTGAATTCTTTTCTAAACTTTTTTTTTTTTGCGTTCCTACTTTCAAGAGAATACACTGTTCTTTTATTTTCTCAATCAAGATTGGTATTTTTTTTTTATATTTTCCCTAAGCCTTATGTTACCTTAGTCGCTAATAAAAATATACTAGGGCATTATTTACTTCTGGAGATTTTATGATACAGTGATAGTGATCAAGCTCGAATCAGATTAGCTGCTGCAAAATCAGTTCTTCGTCTTGCCAAAAGATGGGATTCACAAATTACACCGGAGATTTTCCGTTTTGCAATCTTGATGGCAAAGGTACATTTGTTTGGTTGCTGTGGTCATAAATCTGCTTAGAAACAGATGAACGTGAATCATAAGAAAACTGGGAGCTCTTATGCAAACAGTGTGGATTCATAATTGATTAAACTAAGGACATGACTAATTGTGACTGGAGGATGAGAGACCCTAGACTGAAAATACAGGCAACCTTTATTCTATAAGTATTGATGGCAGTACGTCATGTTATTGTTAATTTTATGCTGATGATTGTAATTAATTTTTTTACCCAAAGATTTAAGCGCTTTATTTTGTAGTTTTGTTCAAAAGGCTACTGTAAGTTATCTCCTTAGTAGTATTGATATAAAGAAAGGTAGGAATGTCCTCAGGCCATAGAAAAGGATTACCAACCTATTTGAGGTCGGTAAGCTCTCCTTCCTCATCTAACTTTCACTAGCACAAATCAGAATGAGGAAAAGTGGAAGTATTCTTTAAGAAAAAGGACTAATCGAGAATTTTTTCCTTGATATGCTTTTTATGAAGTTTAGTTAAAATGTGTATATAGTGGATGTCATTCGGTTCAGCCTGTTTCATCTTCATATATTTCTGCATATGGATGTTAGTCTTCCAAGAGACCCCTTTATAACCACCTGGTACTTTTATTTACTGCTCCATTTCAGGACTCCTCTTCTTTGGTTAGAAGGCTATTTATTGACAAAGCACGCAAGTTACTAAAGGAGCAGGCTATACCTACTCGATATGCTTGTGTTTTTGCATTTTGGATCTCAGATAGCTTGAAGGATCTTCAGGATGATGTATGTCTATTTCTGTCAATTATGCAGCAGTGTTATGCTTAGGTACCTTTGCTATATGGTTCTATGATTCATATTCTGATGATACACTTCATTTCATTTCAGTCACTCAAATATATGGCAGAATTTATTGAGCAATATAGGAAGATAGCTCAGATTCATCAAAATTCTGTGGGTCAAGGTGGATCAGTGACCTTTGTTCCAGCGTATATAGTAGTATTCTTGATATATATTCTAGCTCATGATTCAGGCTTCCCGCATACAGTCTGTCAAGATGAAAATGAATATGCTCAATTTTGTAGGTAAATGTGCCTTCTGTTTGAATCATTGTTGATGTTAAAACTTTTCCTCCATAATATCAATTGGTGTCTCTGCTTGGAACATGCTCTTTTTGCAGCCCCCTCCTATTTACGTTGCAGATGTTAGTCAATGCAGATGTAAATGTTGCAAAGGATACCGTTCTGTATTTGCACAGTATTTTTCGTGCCATTAAGAGGGTTGAGGATGCTGTGGATGTTGAAACATCACCTGTGAGAGTTTGTAGTAATTCATTTATATTATCACTGGCCTTTGTCATCACACAATTTCATCAGCTGAAAGCTTTTCCTTTTCTTTTATCTCTTTAATTTCAGAAGTTACACATTTTAGCGGACATTGGTCTCTCTTTTGTAACTGCTCCAAATTATTCCGGAGTCTCCCTATCATGTGCCCCAAGGCAGATTTTGCTGCCATTATCACTATATAGAGTGAGTTTGCCAAAGAAAATTAACTTGTTGTGTGCTTGAGGATACGATCTCAAATGGACATTTAACATATGATTATTACCCTTCTTTCCAGGTAAATTCCAGGCAGCTTTCTCAACATGCTTTGGATGAATGTTTTATTGGAAGAGTTATTAAGACATTTCAATCTCAGTTCATTTTGGTATGCATCTACTGTTGTTCTTTATTCTTTACCGATTATCTTATGAGTTCCATATGATTTGTGATTTGTCCTTTTGTTGCATGAAAGCCCACTATCAACCCATGTTCCTCAATAAGCATGAAAGCTTGTAAGCAAGTTGAAGCCATTTCCTCTAGAGCAACGAAGATCAATAAAACTGTGAATCAGGAGGCTATCGTTGGACGGAGGCGAAAACGGGCTGTCTCTCCAACAATGTCCTCATCAATTGAGTTGCGGGAGAGTTCTTCTTGAAGAAAGAAAGCTGTGTTGAGGAGTGGTGAATGATATGATAACGTGAATATGTTTGTATCTAATAAATCTTCTTGCTCATTTTCAGGTTGTTGGAAGTATCAAATACGAGCATTTGCTGTCTTGAGGTACTGGTTTCCTACCCTAACCATTGTTTAGAGGGTTATGAAAATGGTAGTGTTTGGTGATTATAGGAATGAACACTTTGGATTAAGTTAAAAAGTAAAAAATTAGCTCAACTGTGATCCAACTGCATCCAATCTTTGGCTTGTTTGAACCCTTTCCACATGTACATATTGGAGAAAAGTGTCTCTGTATAGAAAAGCTCAAGTAACAATTTTGGATACTTACTGCATTGTTCAAGTAACGGCTTTCTAATTTCTTCTTTCTTTTTTATTTTATTTTAGTGACATGCATACATACATACATACATGCATGCATGCATACATACATGCGCACATGTACATATACACACATATAGACATACATACTTATATTGATTGGTTCTTACAGTTCCAAGTTTTTCGTTAAAGCAGTTTCTTTATGTTTTTTGGTAGTAATTTCTGCTAGTTTAATTTTTCTAGAATTAAATTAATATGTTTCTGTAAAAACAAATTTTAAATACATTACATTTATTTATTAGATGTTATTTTAATTCATTAACCATTTTTCTAGTTGGGTTTTAGTTTAACTATTAGACTTTAAAAATGTTCGTGTTCAAAAAAAAAAAAAAAAAAAATCATATGCATTCAATAACTTATATAACATAATAGTTGAATTTTAGACTGAAAAAAAAACAAAATAATAGTTGACAACCTAAATTTATTTTATTCCTAAATTTTACCTAATTTTATTTTTAAATAAATATTTGATCTTAATAGTATTGATATTACTTGAGTGAAATAAGCTGAATATTATTTTATTATCATTCTATATTTCTATTTTATGCCTAATAATTAATGTAACGAAATTTACTTATAATATGTACATAATAATATACATGTATTATTGATTAAGGGTTGAAATCACTTATTCATTGTGAAAAAAAACCTAATATAAGTATTTAAAGTATAAAAAAAATAAAACAATTATATATCTAAAAATAATTTAGAAAAATATAACTTTTTTTTCTCTCTATTACCGCATTTATTATATATCTAAAAGAATATATATATTACCTATGTAATAATATAAATGAAAATTGGAATGAATAGTCAAAATATGCTATGCTTATTACCATTTTGAAAGCGACTCAAATAGTTAGAATAATTAAAACTTTTATTGTATTCAAAATCAAATTTTATGAAATTACCATTTTTAATCAATAATATATATATCTATATATATATTCCACGTAATTTTCTTAATAAAAAATTATATATTCCACGTGAACTTCACGGAAGGTACATGTCGGTTTTTTTTTGTTTTTTTTATTATTACTTTTTTTTAATGGTGTATTTCGGTTCTATTGCCACGTGGAATTGGAAATTACCGCCGCAGCTTTTTTAATCTCCAGGACCAGCAGAAGGTTGCCACTTCTGAGCTTCTCAACTCCCTCAAGACTTCTGCAACTCCGACCATTCCAAGTCCCATCACCGCCTTTTGCCTCACAGCTCCATTCTAGGTTTTCAGGCGGAGCCGAGCTCTCGTTAACTGTGTTCAGACGGTTCGCGCCTTCTTATCATGTGCGCTTGCCCATGGCTAACTTGAGGACCGACTCTCCCGTCGCTTGTCGCATCGTTCGTGCCTTTCTTGACTTTCTTAACTCTGGTATCTGCTTTTCTCCCTTTTCACGATCGTTTATGTTCCTGTAATGTTGTAGTTGAGCAGTTTTCGACGCTCTTCAGTAGGTTTTTCTTCTGCTAATGATTTAGCGCGATTGCGGAGTAGGTTTTTTATGATAGATTTTCGATGCTGAATTACTGGAATGTATTGTGTCGTGTCGAATTTGTGTACATTAGGCAATTTTAGTGGAGTGAAGCGATGTGTTGTATTAAGTGATGTTCGTTACTACTTTGATGTTTGTTTTAGGGTTTCCATTAAGCAATTCTAATTCGTTATCTTATCATATTTGTTTTGTGCACAGTGGAGCCAGGTCCAGGTGTTGATGTTGAGGGCATTGAGGTAGCAAAACAATGTTTAGAACAAGTGTTTAAAGTTCAGTCTCCTGCTGCCGGCGAGTTAGCGGAATTCAATTCGCTAGTAGGCATTTTTAGTTCAACGGAATCTTTTCAGCGTTCTGGAACTAATTCATCTGTTGATAATGGAGCCGTTCCGATGGAACATTGCAGTTCTCTCAATGTGAATGATTCTGGCGCCAATTTGTCAAAGTCATCAAGACCTCAGGTCAGCTAGCCTTGCGGTTTTCTGTTCATGAAAATTTCAGCAATATTAAGTCATTAATTCTCTGTGCTAATTTCCATGTCTTCATATACGCTTTGAATTCCATGCCATTTGTGTGTATAAAAATAATTTGTGAAGTTTATCATCGTTAGGTCAGCATTGAAATATGTCGCATTGGTATTTCAATCTGTAAACATGGTCAAATGTGTAGCCAGAATGAGATTATCTGCAGTGCGTTTTTCATTTCAACATTTTGAGCCAAAAGTAGAAGTGAAACGTACATCCCGGAATTTCAAAATAGTGTTCATTAAGGCCTGATTGTAAGGTCTGCATGCCCCGATTGTAAGGTCTGAATTTGATCCCATCTCCTCTTGATTGATCTTGTGTAGTAATTTTCATTTTCTTTTTTCTTTTTCTTGGAATAGGTTCTCTGTTTAGTCTACTTTTAGAAAGTAAGAAATGATGTTGCTAAGTAATGTTGTTCGGCACTTCAAAGCATCCAAATTATATAATTTTATGTACACTCATAAATGTTTTTATTAGTGTTCGTGTTTGTTTGAAAATGTTTTGAATTCAATCAATTATAACTTATCTGATTGTCTTATTTGATTGTTGAGTTTTGATTTTCTCTCTCTCAATTAATCCAGGGGGATGATTGTTCAAGAGAATCTCATCCCTTAGGTATGTTTTCTCCTCTTTTTTTTTTTTTTCTGTTCCTTGTATACCTTTGTCTTTGATATATATATACACATATTATATGTAATTTTAGCTGTATTCATAGAAAATAGAAACTACACATCAGCATCCCACTCTTATTACCTCTTATTCTTCAAGATTCCCTCTTAGGTTTCAAGGGTTGTAGAAAAGTTGTGAACCTTAGTTGAAGTACCTTAAAGCAGTAGAAGGATCATGCTTGGTGAATTCGGAATTTTGAAGCATTGTCTCTCAGTCTAGATATATATGCATCATTTGTGTTTGGTATGTGGAAAAAAAAAAAAAGGAATTTGACTTAGATCTAGAACTGACTTTGCAATTACACATGGAAAGTAGGTCTTTTTCATGGTTTAATTACTAAATGTTTATGCTCAATATGAAAATGGGAGCCTGCAAAATGTAGTAATTGTAGCTGTTGGAGATTTCGTCTGAAAATTTTGTTTCACCTCTCTATTTTGCTAATTGTAACGCAGGGAACAATAGTGGTAGAAAAGATGGTGACAAAATTGCACTTAGAAGTACAAGTTTTCACTTGTTTGGTCACCATCCATAAGACTAACTGCAATGACCACTGGACCAGGTTCAAACTAAATCAAAACTGCAAGTTTACATGAAAAAAAAAAAAAAAAAGAAAAAGAAAAAGAAAAAGAAAAAGAAACTATGCTCAAGTTGCTAACTTGTGACTAATTGGTGGCGATTGCAATGATATATGACAATTTTACTTGGAATTGATGAAGGAAAGAAACATAAGCGCTTTTTAAAAAGAAAGAAACAAAAAAAAAAAAAACAAGAAACAAGAACTTCTTCAAAGATAATTTTTAATTTGGAGTGGCTAAATCTTTTGTCGTCTTCGGATTTCCATTATAATTTCCCATTCCATATATTTACATTTTTTTTTTGTTTATCCTATATTTTATTACCTCCTTATTTGATATAAAGGTTTGCTTTCTTTGAGCTTTGGAGGAGCTAAGGCATCATTTGATAATAATCTTGTTTTAAGTTTTTTGTTTTAAAAAATTAGATTTATTTCCTCTCAATTGTTTTAGTTTTTTGTCTTTTACCATTTTACAAATATATTTGAATTATAAACCAAATTTAAAAAATGATAACTGGTTTTTAAAGGCTACTTATCTTTTTGTCTTTAAATTTTGACTTCTTTTTTGTGATCCCTCATGCCCGAGATTCATATCAGGATTTGGAATCCGGATTTGGCACCAGATGACCTCGACATTTTCCTACATCTCTTATGACCATGTCACGTACGTGTTTTGAATTACTTTTAAAAGTGGAGACTATCCCTACAAACTAACAGAGATTTTTTTAGCATCCTTTATCTTTCACTCACATGTTTTTTAGGAAAATTTCTAAGATGTAACCCAACATAGAATAGTTCCAAGCTAAGCGCACTTGAATTTGAAGTTTCTATGATTAAGCAATTGAAAAGGAAGGTGCACTTTGTTGGTATAGGTAGTGACTTTCAATTCTTTTAAGCTTTTTTTAACCATCATATTCTTAGAATCACTTTCATTCGAATGTAATCTTGGTTCATTAATGTACTCCTTTACTTGTGTGTCACATGCCCACTAGCTTCCATATTAGTTCGTTTTTGAACTATATCCTATTGGAAGTGGCCTCACTCTGATACTATATGTAACACCTCATGTCTAAGATTTAGATCAGAGTTTGGAATCCATATTTTTCACTTGATGGTCCTAGTATTTCTATGTAGCCCCCATAAGATGATACTAAGAGGGAAGACTGCCCCCACATATAATTGCTCCAAGCTAAGCATGCTTAGTTTTGGAGTTTCTATGAGTCACGAAAAAAAGATGTGCCTTGTTAGTATAGGTAGTGATTTTCAATTCTTTTAATTATTTCTTATCTATCGTATCCTTAGAATCACTCTCATTCTGATGTGGTCTCGATTTATTCATGTACCCTTCATTTACTCAGACGTCACACTTTTATAAAATAGATAACAACTCAAAGAAATGCATGAATGGAAATAGCATTTATAATTTAAATTTTTAAAAGCATAAAATAAAAAACAAAATAGCTGTGGAAGGAGGCCTAAATAATTGTGATTTTGTTGCAGGAAGAGGAAGGTGTTTTGTTTCCTCTTATCATAATGATGATTTTCTTTGTAATAGGGCCCATGAATTGTTCGTGATTAACCTTTGTTTTTCTCTCACGTAATTTTACTATGAGATTCATGGGTCAAGTCAATTTAATTTTTATTCAAAATTCCAAAGGAAGCATTATCCTTTGTTTCATGGAGACAGTATTGCAAGAGCTTCTAGTAGGAGGAAGAATTATTTTTAAATGTTCGCTTTCAGAACTTTGTTGGATTAATTGGGTTGAAAGAATCGAGTCTCCTTGAAGAAAAGGAGGGATGGCTTGACACCTTGTATTCTAGAGGATTGGTCTTTCTAAAGTTTTTTTTCCTCGATTGTCAGTCCTTTCTTTTTCTTCTTTGAAAGAGGGATTCCTTTTCCTTTTCTAATAGGAATTTTGAAAAGGGATTTTTGATGCTCTTCTTTTTGTATGTTCCTCTTTTTTTTAAAAAAAGATATTATAAAAATATTTTTCTGTAAAAGAATTGTGTAGGATTGTATATGTTGAATCAATTAAATTGGTGGTTTGGATTCTTTTTTCTTTTCATTTTTTCTGCGTTGGTCAACATTTTTGCAGGAGTATTGCAAGATGAACTTTTTGGGCAATTTGTTCTTGCACTTGAAAAACTTCGATATTTTAGGACCTCAGCAGATGGGAGGGATGATCCTGACCAACTCGAGCGAGCAACTCGTTTGTTTCATGATGCTCTTGGAGTATGATTTTTTTTGTTCTTTTGTTGCTTCAGATGAATTTTTATCTCTGTGTGTGCCTTATCTCAGCATCTGTTGCTAGATATTCTTAATGCAGTTAGTAACTTATCTGCTACTGGTTCATTGCCTCATAGAACGTTCTCTTACTTTTGAAGAGTACCCTTCCCTTTCTCTTCCCTTGCTTCCTTGGATAATCCTTAACCAAATTTCTCATTGCTTCAGGAAATGGAAAGATCTGGATGCACCGAAATTAATCACAAAAACCTGGCTGAGTCCTTGAAGTCCCTTGGTATCACAACTCCTAAGAAATAATTTTTAGCCTGTTCTATTTTATCGTATGATTTCCTGTCCTTCCGCACATTCATTTAATATGGTAAAGGTAATAATTGGTTACCTTCGCACAAATGTATCGTTTAGATACTTCGCTTTTTATTATTTAGACGTACTCTTCATGCTTACATTTATCCTTTATTTGATAAAATAAGACATTATTTTTGCAGTCTAATTGATCTTCCAATCTCTCTTTTTATAGGCCCAGCTCACTGAAAGGTTCTAATATGGAAAAATATGTTCTGTTTTAGGTAACAGGGCTATGCAGTCAAAACTATACTCCGACGCAATTGAGTTGTATAGCTGTGCAATTGCACTATGTGAAAATAATGCCATTTACTACTGTAACAGGTAGAATTCTGTTATATCATAAAGAGCATTAATACGAATTGCAATAGAGTATCTAATCGTGCTAGTTAAGGAATTTCTTTTTCTTCTATATGTATGAGATAAGAACTAATTCACTCATACATTCACTTTTCTGAGTTATGCAGATTAGTTTGCCACCCTTGTAAACTGAATGTTTTGAAAAAAAATAAATGCTATCATTAGTTATATGAGAAACTTAACATTTGTCAAATTTTCGTAAAAATGATTTATGGATGATTAAGATCCTGGACATACCTAGGCTTCTCCTACCGCTCTTTCAATATTCCATATTATCCAAATATTTTGATATTAAATATTGTCGAATCACAAATGCACAGACAAAAAATTTGTATGAACGTAAAAATGTATCGGCTCACAACCATTATCTTTATAACTACTTTGTCCTTGGTTTACTTGGCTCTTTTGTCAATTTTTAATTTCATTGAAATGTATGGAAGACAGATTCATTGTTGTTATTTTCCTCACCCAATTTTGTATTGATGGATTTTTTTTCAATGTCAAAAAAATTAAAACTCCTTAGGGCAGCTGCTTACACTCAAATCCAAAAATACTCTGAAGCAACAAGAGACTCTTTGAAATCCATTGAAATTGACCCAAATTATAGCAAGGCATATAGTCGTCTGGGCTTGGCTTTATATGACCAGGGGAGCTATCGTGATGCTATTGATAAAGGATTTATGAAAGGTTGGTGAGACTTCGAACATTAAACCCCATGCAGTGCATTAGGCTAATTAAACTTATGTTCAATTGTGAAAGTATTTGTAGAGAACTATATGTATTTGGAACTGATTAGGTCTTCTTTTTTGCACATACTATGTTTTTTATTACCCATATCGAATGCATTTTAAAATGCCAGCTTTAATGTGCAGCCTTGCAGTTGGATCCAAACAATGAAGCTGTCAGGGAAAATATTCGAGTTAATACACTGTGACTTCTATTCTTTCATATTTCTCAATACTGAAAGCTTCATTTCGTTAAATTAAACAATGCATTGACTTTCACCACCAGAACTGATTTTTCTATTACTGTAACACTATTATTGTTTGAAAATGTTTTATTTCAACTCGTAGGTAGCTGAACAGAAGTTAAAGGAAGCACAGCGACAAACTCACCATGAGCAGGTACAATGTACTTTATTTTCTCATGAAACAAACGATCCCTTCACCAAGGATTGTTGGTTCTCAAACTTGTAATAGAAGCTAGTAAGTTCAAGGAAGCCATTGATTGCTCCTCCTATGAGTTGTGGTACAAATATTTGGATTTTGAAGTGCGAAATAGGCCACTTCCTACGGATGGTATAATTTAAGCATTGTAACCACCTAATATAATTGACGGCCCTAGAATGAAAATGATCTCGATCTCTTCCAAATTCAAGATAAAAAAAAAAAAAAATGTTGCCATGTTTTTGTCTATGCCAACTCCTATTCATTGTGTTGCTCTCTCAGAATCCTACTACTTTACTAGTTCTCTCTTAATAATCAACATTATCTAGTGGTCATGGGTCAGAATTCTTGAAGTCCAGAGTAAATTGTTTTTCCGTAATGATCAAGTATGTAATATCTTTCTGTGGCCATATAAGAGTGCTGGAAAATTTACTTCATTAATGTGATGTGAATGAAATGGCTTCAGGAACCAAAAGTGCTATTGTTCAGCCACTTGAAGTTAGTAGAAATGTTGCAAATGCGATCCAATTTGAATATGTAATGAGCAGTAGCCTGCTAATTTTTGCTTGCTCATCCTTCTGCTCACTTCACTACAATTTATCTTCCATGGATTTAATTCTATGCAGGGTTCATCCAGTCGAAGTCAAGAATCCCAATACCAGCAGTCTAGTGGAGCGTCAAGGAATGACAGCCCATCACCTCCCTTCCCTTCTATGCCCTTTAATGGCACTTTACCTTCCGAAATCTCAAACATATTCATGAACATGGCTGCTAACCATGGGCAACATACCGGAGTCGGGGGAGAAGAGAACAGAAGCGGAAATGGATCAGCAGATGATCCAAGAACAAATATGGATGCAAATTTCAGTTTCAGCGTTGGAGATGGAATGCCACAGGATCTCAATGGTGCTTTGAGATCTATGATGCAGATGTTCACCGGAGCAGCCTCCGGTGCAAATCCTCAGGATAACATCAATAGAAGACCCCCACAAGGCTGAAACCTTCAGGTCGGTATATTGTTGCGCAAAGTTCCCTCTATTTGACTTTTTTCTTTTTTATTCAGTTGACTTCGATTTCCTTTATATCTTATAGGCATGAATCTTTGAATTAAAAAACTAGGGGGCCTTGAACAGATTCACCCTTCAAATAAATACGCTAGTTCTTGTCTTTATTAAAGAAAAAAAGCTAGTGAATGGTTGTTCTTAGGTTCGGTCAATGGCCGAAAAATGAACAGATTATTCCATTTCCTGTTATTTTTGTGATGTTCCATCTTAGAAGTGAATTCGATATTTTTGTCCAAGTCAATTCCTTAACTCGGCCTCTGTCTCGATTATTCTTTTTATTATATGCAATTCTGACCAAATCGATATGGGCTAGATCGATGCAAGCCGAGTATAATATAACATTTTCATTTTATTATTTCAAAGCACAGATGTTTAGCCAAATTCGAGGGTCAATTGCCATGTGTTCTGCTTATGATCGAAACACTGGCCGAGGCAAAGGGACCATTGTCAAGGTGACCTTTCAAATCTTATCTGATTACATGATTATCTTTTATTTAAGCTTAGGGATTAAGGAACTCTAGAAGGCTCGTACATTTAGACTAGAACAATTGCATTTATTTAGATTGACATTTTGATATTTGGAGTCTGGATTTTTAAGTATTTTTAAAAATTATACTAAATGAAAATTGAACTCTAAATTTAGGAATAAAAGTGTAACATTTTGAAAATTAAATGAAAATTATACTCAGAGTTTTAGGACTAAAAAAGAATGAAGTTCTAACAGCCTCCCAAGTGTTTTCTTGGATCAGTAATGCTGGTGCATTATTAAAATCCAAATCAATTGCATGCAGTTTTTATTTTCTACCCACATAACCTTTTAAATAGGTACTGTGTCTATTGTTTCAAACATAAATAAATGAATACATACTTGTTTGTTCTCTTCTATAGTTGAAACATGTAGTAACGTAAAATAGTTAATTGATATGGTTGAAATAGTTGAACTAAGCTCAAATTAGCCATGAAATAGTTGACATCTGTTGCAGTATGTTCAAATGAAACTGTAGTTTCTCTCTCTTTACTTTCAAATGGGGTCAGAACAAGGTTAGATTTTGGCTCCTCTAAACACTTGTCTGTTTGTTTAAGTGTCGTCTACATGCGTTCAACCTTGGTTGGTTCAACTTGATTTGACAAGGCCAAAGCTGGGTTTTGAGTCGTCAGTGTAGTAATCTTTATTTCGAGCCCAATTTTGCTCACGTGTTCAATTTTGGCATTGTCTTCCTCTTCTCTAATTTCTTCACTGCTTATACAACTTACCCTGGACCAAATTATTCCAAATAGATAGAGTCATCTCGTTGACACTGGTATATTGCATGCTACAAACACTCTGTTGCTTATGTTATAAAAGTATTACAATCTTCGGGTTAGAATGTGGTCTAAGTACATATAATTATCTTCAAGTTAGAATGTGGTCTATGTTGAGGATTATTGGGAGTGAGTCCTACATTGGTTAATTTAGTGGAAGATCATGAGTTTATAAGCGAGGAAAATACTATCTCTATTGGTACGAGGTCTTTTTAGGAAACCCAAAGTAAAATCATGAGAGTTTATGCTGAAAGTGGAAAATATCATACCATTGTAGAGAGCCGTGATTCCTAACTGTCTAAATACTCTAACGCTTATGCTATAAAAGTATAATAATCTTCAAGTTAGAATGCGGTCTAAGTTAAGAGTTGACCTAAGGCTTCCTAAAGAAAGAAAAGCGCACTTTGTTCTATCTATCTATCTGAATTTAATTTTTATGGTCCAAAATCACTCGAGAATAACGAATAAGTATACAAATGATGTATTAATTTAATTTGATTTTTAAACCATCCATTCCAATGCAACTTCTACTCTTTTTTTTCTTTTTTTTTTTTTTAGATTATTGATGAAAATTAATATGCCTATGGAATCATTTAAGTTGCCGGAATTAAACACTTTCATATCATGTGGATTCGAAATTAATAACCCAAATCTCAAACGTTATATTATTTCGTAAACCCTTATAATTAATTATTTAAGATATATATATTATTTTCTGATAAATTTGGTTTTTTTAAATATAAAATACTAGTTTTGATCGGTTGGATTGCTGACATTGTTTTTAACTTTTGCTATAATAATATAATATTTTAATTCTTATATTTTAAAAAAAGATTAATTCTTACGCTATTGACAAAAACTCTTCTAGAATAAAATTAAATTAAAAAAAGAAAAAAGAAAAAAAAAAAAAAAAAGAGGCGGAAAAGGTCGGATAACTGCCATGAACGGCCAGGATTGAAATCAGAAATCTGGAATTTATCCAACTTCACAGTCCGCATCCCATTTTCCTACGGTCAGAGTCGCCCTTTTCCATACCCCAACGTCGATCCGTATGGTAAAGCCCTTAGTCTCAGCCTGCTTTCGCCATCATTCCTTCATTCATTGCTGCGCTCTGGAAAATCATAGAAAAGTCGCTTAAGCTGCAGCTGATTCGCTTTCGTAGGCTGAAAGTTCAATCTCTTTCTGCATTGGCGCCTCCGCCTGATTCCGTTTCCACTCATAAATTGTTCCGCTTCCTTCCTCCAAACTCGGAGATTACTGTTTTGAGCTGCTTTTTACGACGCATCTGTTTCTCGGTCTTGATCTTTCGTGTTGGTCAATGTTGTACCTCTGAATTTGTCTTTTGTTTCTCTGTTGTTGGTTGTATCGACGGCGAGAGAAGAAGCTGAAGGTATGTATGCTTGATTCGTTTGCTTTTGGAAAGATTTGTTTTCGATTGTTGTGGTACGAACTGTGTTGTTTTGGTGTTTTACTTTATTGCTGTGCTTTGATTTTCCTTGCGTTTATGTGAGGGAATTTTGTTTTTGGCTTTTGTCGTCGCTTGTGTTGTTACTCATGTGAGACGTGCCTGCTGGTGCTTGGATGGAATCTGGAAAAGTGTATTCGTCGAAGCTTTCTTAAAAGGAGAACTTTCAGACTTTCAGACTATGTCGGTTTAGTCATTTTGTTTATTTTCATTGTCATTAATCAGCAGAGACAGATCGAGTCTTCATATAGGTCCATTCGTTGTTTGCGATTGACTGATACTCTCTAAAAGATATTGCTGAATTTAGCTTATTTTTTCATCTTTTAGTTACGCTCGGTGCCTGAAGTCTGTAAGAAATGAGCGCATATATCGTTGGTGTTCTGGTACCTATTGTAGCTACATTTTTCTTCCGGAATTCAAAAAAATCAAAGAAAAGAGGCTTGCCTGTCGATGCTGGTGGGGATCCTGGGTTTGCTGTTCGGAACAGTAAGTGCACTGAGCCTGTGGAAACAGCATGGGAAGGAATCTTCACTCTTGCAGAACTCTTTGAGTACTCTTGCAAGCAGCACCAAGACAGACATTTACTCGGAACCCGGAAATTGATTTCAAAAGAAACTGAAATAACTGCAGATGGAAGATCCTTTGAGAAGTTTCATTTGGGTGATTACGAGTGGCTAACTTATGGTCAAACATTTGAAGCTGTGTGCAGCTTTGCTTCTGGTCTCGTACAAATTGGGCATAATAAAGGAGAACGTGCAGCAATCTTTGCTGACACTAGAGAAGAATGGTTTATTGCCTTGCAGGTGTTTCTCTTTCGTGACTTGTTTGTTGTATCTTGCATCAATATTTGGAATAAATTTTGAGATTTATTTTTTCTTTTGTCAAGAAATGTTGTCAATGCATTTTCTGATATTTTATTCTACATTAATTTATAAATATTTACTTAGAGTTTGTGAGGTTAATTTTCTAGCAAGATTTAGCTTCTTTTTTTCTTTTATTGCAGTTATATAATATGGCTTGTGTGTTTTCTTGTTCCAGGGATGCTTTAGGCGCAATATCACTGTCGTAACTATCTATGCATCTTTAGGGGAAGAGGCATTATGTCACTCGTTGAATGAGGTTCTCTCGATCGTCTCTCTCTCTCTCTCTCATTTGCAAGCATGCACAGATGCTGCGCGCAAATGTTAAATGAAGCTACATTTTTTATTCTCCACATTCATTGTACAACCATTATTAATTTTTTCTTAAACTGGAGCAGGAAACCAGCCTTGTGTTTATGAAAAATATGTTTTTGCTCTCAAATTCTGCCCTCTATCTCTCCATATTCAATCTGTTTTGTTGGTTATTCCCCTGCAAATTCCTGCAATTAAAATATCTTACTTTGCTTTTGATTATTTATACATGATGTGTGATCATATTAGTCGTTTTCATCTCCAGACAGAAGTCACGACTGTGATATGTGGCCAGAAAGAGTTGAATAAACTGTTAGGTATCAGTGGACAGCTTAAGACAGTGAGGAATGTGGTATGTATGGATGAGATTCCGCAAAGCATTATAAATTCTGAGCAAAACGGGGACTGGAAAATGACCTCATTTGCTAAAGTTCAAATGCTTGGCCAAGAAACTAACATGGGTGCTGAGTTACCCATCTCAGCTGATATTGCAGTTATAATGTATACAAGCGGAAGCACTGGATTGCCCAAGGTGGGAAACATCTATGTTTGTACGTAGGCACTTATGTACACACACATAATATATACATTTGCACACACATACATACGTACCACATACTCGAGTTTCATTTCTTTTTACCCTTCTGATAATTTATTTTTTAAGCTTTATGACTGCATTTAAAGTTCTGCAATGAGTATTCTCTATCTACTTGGGAAACTTGAGAGCTCAGTATATCTTGGAATGTTATCTTTATTAAGATACACAATGATTCTCCTTAACTTACTGATACCTTGAGGTTCTGTAGAGCTTGATTTCTTTTCCACTGCGTCCCTTTGTTATTTTCTGCCACTTGTTTGTAGTTGCCTATTTTGTTTAACATTGTTCTGCAACTGCTGCTAATAATTTATTGATAATGGCTGTGTGTACAGGGTGTGATGATGACACATGCAAATGTATTGGCTACAGTTTCTGCTGTCATGACTATAGTTCCTGGTCTCGGGAAGAAGGATACATATCTCGCATACTTACCCATGGCTCATATCCTTGAGTTAGCAGCAGAGGTTTGTATTCTTCGAATTTCATATGTTTGGTAGCTTTATGTTACTCTTTTACTGTTTAGTAGAATTCAAATTATTTTTCACTTTTGCTGTTTTATGACTAAATCTTATATGTTATCTTCGTTTCTTAGAATGTAATGGCTGGTGTTGGATGTGCTATTGGTTATGGGTCTCCTTTGACACTTACCGATACATCTAACAAGATTAAGCGAGGGACAAAGGGCGATGCAACTGCTCTTGTGCCAACAGTGATGACGGCTGTCCCAGCAATTTTAGATCGTGTTCGAGAAGGGGTTCTTAAAAAGGTTTGTCAATGTTGCATGCACATTTTTGTTCATATGCCATTTATCTGAACACTCATGCTTTGCTATCCATTTATTTGGTGGTTATAATGATGAGTCTTCTGATTTCAGGTGAACGGGACAGGTGGATTAGCAAAGAAATTGTTTGATTTGGCATATTCTCGTAGGTTATCTGCCATGAATGGTAGTTGGTTTGGGGCTTGGGGTCTGGAAAAGCTTTTATGGAACTTTCTTGTGTTTAGAAAGGTTCAAGCAATTCTTGGAGGTCGCCTTCGTTTTCTGTTGTCCGGAGGGGCGCCCCTTTCTGGTGATACCCAAAGATTCATCAACATTTGTCTCAAGTATGTATGACATGCAAATCTTATGAATGCCATAGGCTTTTACTGTCAGAGTTCACCTGTCTTACAGACAATTGTCCAAGAACAAATGAAACTTTACTGCTGGATTTCTAAATTTCAGATGCTATGGACTATTTGATATCAAATCTGGATACAAATTACACAAGAGATACCGAATAATGTGTTTGTCTTGATGCATATAGGGTTTTAAACCGTTTTGATGAGGTTTTAGCCTAGTGTATATTTTTCACTGGCATTTTATTTTGTTGATTCCATTATATATGCGGCATAAACCATCCATGACTGTTGATAATAAATAAATGCTAATGAATGCTACACGTGACGGATATAATTTGGCGGTGGATAAAGATACTACAGTCCTACAACCAATAATAGATATTAAAACTACGTTCACGGTCCATCATTTTACCATACATGCATGTGTGCTTGCAGTTACCATCTTGCATATGTATCTCATGGTATCCTATTTTCAGTGCTCCAATAGGGCAGGGTTATGGTCTTACTGAGACTTGTGCTGGTGGAACATTCTCTGAGTTTGATGACTTGACCGTTGGTCGAGTAGGAGCTCCACTTCCTTGCTCGTTTGTTAAGGTATCTATGCATTATCTGTATACAAGTGCTCCAGATTACTTATAAGTA